CAGCAGGAAAGAACCCCGCTTCCGCTCCCTGGACCTCGCAGCAGGTTCACGGTTCTTGATCATCCTCTTCTGATGCTGTGCAACAGTCTTATCCAACGCTTCCATAATCATTCTCGCTCTCTTTCCCCTGTCTCCGCCATAGACATCCAAACCGTTCCCAAGCCCTAAGATAGACCCTTCAACCTTGGCGTTCATCTGAAACGGCGTCTATGGCATCGGGTCGAACGCGTATACCCCACCGCCGGCCCTCTCCGGCGGAATCTTCACATCAATATCCTCCGATTCTGTCGTCCCTACTGCACCACCCAACGCCGACTTCGCCGGGAAATCCTCGAGTCATTATATCCTCCTACATCGCTTTCCTCTCCCCGGACACAATCTCTCTCCGAACGTCATCCGCACTCTTCTCCCGCGTCTCCGCCCCACTCGCAGCTCCTCCGGTGATCCCGCAGCCATTCCGCTCAACGTTAACCGACATCTTCACCGGCGCTGGAGCATGAGCACCGATGAATGTTGAAAAATAGATACCCTCTACGTTAAACCTAACAAATGTAATAGACGCATCCCAAAGCGTAGACTCCGCTGCCCCCGCCGCCAGCGATGACGGAGGTTCCGTAACGTAAAACGTCCCGCAGAATCCCATCTACTGTCATCGCGGAACCAAATCCGTCGTTCAACCTGCCGTAGCCGCCGCTTATCCTCGACCGGTAGACGGTCGAATCTCGGTTCAGCTGGTTAAGATTTATGGGAGGAGGAGAAACGGAAGAATTACGACGAGACAGATCCGAGTTTCTCGAGTTGGAAGAAGGCATCACATTGGACGACGCCATTTCCGGAGGAGTGAGGAAGTTGGAACAGCTGATCTCTCGGTTTGTTTGACCGAGCAACAAGAACGAAGAACAACGCTTTGGGAGAAGGTGGATATTTTCTCGGACAAGAAAATCGTATCTTGCGTATTAGGGTTTTCTGAAATTTTCTTCCCGCGGGAGGGTAGGTTCGAGGTCTGATGGTTGCACCCGCCAGAGATCGGGAGAAACACGTGAAAGGCGCGTGGGTCTATTTGCGCGTGACGGGATTGAACCCAAAACGACCCGTTTTAGCCCGCCCTACTCCTGCCTCCCGTACTCCACGGCAGCCCGACAAGCTTGTCGATAATCAGGTTTAAATAAGACCAGATCGGAAGTGCAGTCAAATGAACACTAAACAAATGACAGCAAGATGTCCAAATTCTCAAACACTTAGAACACAAAACTGACGAGAACTGTTCGAAAAGCATCTGCCTAAAGGTTTCGACACAACAGGAAAAAGAAAGACAGATAAATATGGAGCTTTTTGCTTAAGCCTTGACACGACCGAAAAACTTCTGCTTCTCCTGAGTGGTCTGGAAACGACCATGTCCAAACTTCGAGGAGGTATCGATGAACTTGAGTTTGATCTCCTCGAGTGCCAATCGAGACGTCTGTGTGAGAAGCGACTGACGGAGAGTCACGACTCTCTTCTTTGGTCCCATGCAGCATCCCTTTATCATCAGGTAATCTCCGTTCACAACACCATAATGGGGGAATCCTCCAATTGGTGTGATATCCTTCTCCGTCCTGTTCAACCGGGTTTTCTTATCAGTATACACTGCCTTTAGTATAATCGAGTGAATGGATAATAAGCCGAGAATGTCATACTGACCTATCGAATTCGGTCATGGCCGAGTGAGTTTCCTGGCCGGCCTTGCCGATCCTGTAGATCTTCTTGTTCATCTCAGTACGGTGGTGGTAACCATTCTGACCAGCCCTTGCTACTGTGAAGGACACTCTAGCCGGATGCCAGGCACCGATACAAGCAACCTTACGAAGACCCCTGTGAGTCTTACGGGGAAGACGGGTCACTCCCCAACGGGTAACAACACCCTCATACCCCTTACCCTTGGTAACACCGATCACATCAATCATTTCATCCTTCTGGAAGATAGCATCGATCGGGATCTGCTTCTCGAAGAAACCATAAGCAAAGTCCACCTTCTGGGCAATGTTTCCACCGTTGACCTGGATCTCCATCAGGTGTGCCTTCTTCTGCTTCAAACCCTTCATCTTCCTGATCTGTAGAAAAGCCATTATAGGATTGTCAGCCAACAAGATGCAGAATCCTTCAGCCTTCTAGTATGTTACCAAGTGAGATATAAATCGCAATCAAAAGAAGGAGAGATAAGGCAATTATACCTGAGTATGGGCCAAAACACGGATAACAGAAGCATACTTCTTCATCTTTTCAAGCTGAGTTTGGATGCTCTTCTTGCCCTCATCACTCTCGTACTGCTTGGAGTACTTGGTGAATGCCTTCTTCTTGGACTTGCACCAGTTCTTGTAGAACCTTCTCCTGACTTCCTCGCTCAAATGCTGAGCCCAGACAGTGTTCAAGGAACGGAGACCACGAGGAGTCTTAACATAGGCAACAACACCAACCACCACCATCGGAGGTGTCTCGATGATGGTAACAGCCTCACATGTCTCCTTCTTGTGAAGCTCTAATCAAGGCAGAGTACCAGTTTAGCAAGGAATTACAAAACCAAAAACTAGATAGCAGAATCAAGACAAGCACATCCAAACTACTTACTGGATCCAGGCTTCTCGACTTCTCTGACAATGTGGGTCATACCAGCCTTGTAACCCATGAAGGCCGTAAACTTGCACGGCTTGGATGGATCATCCTTTGGGAACGCCTTCACTGATTCCAAATCACAGACTTGGTAGTGAGAAAAAAACTAATAACACATAGAAACTGATACAACTATATGATAAAGCTAATCAATTCTAACCCAAATACCACCAACGAGAGCGTATCTACCCTGCAAGAAAAGCAAAAGCAATAAAAAATAGAACAAGTACCTTTCCCTCTTTGGCGGTTAGCTCTCTTCCTCGGAAGGAACCCGAGGGAACCGTGTCTTGGGTGCTCAAACTTCCTGTGAGACATTCTTCTCCTGCTTCGGACAAATTTATTGTCAACCATTAAATAAAAAATAATAAAAAGAAGTAAAGAATCGTTTGCATTACGATCACTATCAGCCTCATGATAACAAAAGCACACTAGCAAATGACCATAAACAGAGCATATATGATTAAGAAAAAGGATAATTAACGCCATTACTGATTCCGCTATGAGACGAGGAAGAGAATTCACGGATATCCGCATTCAAAAGTTACAGAGATAAGAGCATTAGATTTCGAATTCAGACTACATCGGTAAACACGGCTAAGGCGAAGGTATTCATCACCAAACCATCATAGGATACAGAAATGAATGCTACACTACTTTCGACAACAGCTTTCCAACAGATTCACGAGAAACATACAGAAACTGGAGGAAGAAAATGAGTGAAACAAGACAAAACCTGAGTCTCTGGTTGACTCCCTCCTGCGGCTAAGCTCCCAAAGCAGCGAACTACAAAAGAGAAGTGCAACTAAACCCTAGTTTCATCTTTATATAAGGCCGACACTTTACCCTAAACCCCCTATTTTCTAATTGGGCCTCCAAAGCCCATCAAAATTACGAAATTTTAAAAGCCCAAAAAACAAAATTAGGGCAGTGACTCACTGTCACCATCCTCCATATATAAGCTCTTTCCCTGCTTGTCAATTCGTTCGTTTCCCAAATCATTCGATTTAGGTTTTCAGCGACAAATTAGGGTTTTTTCTTCATCCTCTCAAAAGCTTCAGTACGGGTTTCGATTTGGATTTGGCTATCTTTATGGTTCGTTTGATCGCTTTTCGAATTGATTTGAAATTACTGTATTTGAGGAGATTGATGAAATCACAGTGCAAAAAACCGCAGCACCCTTGTAGGTGCAGTGAGCGGCAACTTTCCACACGAGATTTCTGACTCTTCTTCCCTCTCTCTTCTTTTCGTCTTTTGCTTCATCTCTTTCGTTCTTCCTCTGTTTCCGGCTTCGGTTTTGTTCTCTGAGGAAAATTGAAACCTGCTAAGGATGGTGTTTGGGAACGCGAATTAGGTTAAACCAGGAGGGAAGGGATCTCTTTTCTGCAACGGAAAAAAATGGGAAACTGAAGTGACAATAGCTTCATCCGAGAAGGTACTGCTCCACTCCACTAGGCTGGAGTACCGCAGATTTCGATAGAAAAATTAAATAATTTTAAATAATAATCGAAATAGGAATCGAATTAAATTCAATATAATAATCGGATTATTATAATTTTTTAAAAACCGGAAATGATGAACTTCGAATATAAATGAATTGGAACTAATAAACTGACAGATATCCAAATAAGCCACTAGGTACTAGAGTGGTGTGCTGCGCATTTTGGTTTTGGTGTAATCCGGTTTAGAGATTTATATTATTTAGACTATAATAGAAATCGGTATTTCAAAATTCTCTCTCTCTCTCTCTCTATATATATATTTAACGAGGCCCATTTACATATATGTATGTATATATGTATATATATGGATGGACACAACAAACAAAAAAAAAAAATCTTTAAAAATCAGATTTTTTAAATAAAAAATGAACCAAAAGAAAATTAAAAATCAGAATTTGGTTTACAAATTAATTTGTGTGTCATGTTGAAGATATATATATATATATATAAATAACGAAAAATACTATATCTTAAATTTGTTTGAAATATTTTGGAGATATGTCTCAAGTTTTAGATTAAAATTTGTTTACTTATGAAAACAGGTAAAATTTTGCATATATGTACATAGAAATTGCAGGATTAAATTCGACTTTCACATTCTCAAAATCAATTCTAACAAATACTAAATTATTTTCATACCCTTTTCTTGTATGTATGTGTGTATATATAAAGCTTTGTTTTACAGGAAAAAAAAATCTAAGATTGACTATTACATATGATCTCAACTATAGGTATACACAAATGTTTTAATTTTAAAGAAATTGCTAATATTGGAAATGGACGTTTAAGAGCAGTTATTAACTTTCGAAGAAATCGCAGTTATTAATGAGTATATATATCATATACTCCACAAATGTTAAAAGGAAAATAAACAATGTTATTTCCGTTTCAATTGGCGAAAAACATGTCACCATAATCTCTCTAATTTCTTTACGATATCTAGATTTTGTTATTATATTGATATTATTCCCTAATATGAAAATAAATTTCAGATACACAGTTTGGGACTCGATCATAAATTAAATTTAGATGGAACAAGTATCCAAAGTTGCTCTTTCCGTCAAAAATCAAATTGAATATAACAACAATAAGATCACTCTGTACTATCTATAAATACATCAAGTAATTTAAAAATATTGGTTCATAGTTGATAATGTACAAAAAAAAAATGTCCCGAGCAGGAAGAAGTCTCAAGTGTGTTTTTCTCGTTGTTCTCGTTTCTTTTGCGACGGTGACCGATGCCAGCAGCTCCAAAGTGTACAATGTGGTGAGATTCAAAAACAGGTTGAAGTCCAACAAGAATCTCAAGATAAACTGCAGCAAACGAAAAGCCGTGGACCAAGTGGTTCCTCCCGACACAGTTTTCAGGTTCAACGTGGATGATAATTTCTTCGGGACGACCAAAATCTACTGCGAGCTGAGACAGGGACCGAACTACGAGCATCACCAAAGTTTCAAGGCGTACTGGACCAACTTCTGGAGGACACCGGGCGTGAAATACTCGTGGGATGTGAGGGAAGACGGCATCTACTTCACCAAAAACACCAAGAAACCTTGGTTGGAGAAGCCTTGGGAGTTCAAGTATGGTTGGCTGGGATGAGAATATTCTATATGATTTGTTGTGAAAGAAAAAAATCTATATGAAACTGCATTCTGCGTCTGGAATCATTTCGATATTAATAAAAAAAAATTATGATATGTAAATTCACCGGATCTTCAAACTAATTACATCTTCTACAAAATCAGATAAATCTATGTGAATATGAGTTGGTATTGAGTTATTAATAAAGTTGTTATTGACTCCTATAGAGATGTATTGTTGTATGTATACAAGGTGTCCTATATAAGATTTGGTAATCCCGTACTAAACCTTTTTTTTTCCAATTGATGAGTCTTTTTTTTTTACTTACTCCAAATCTACACACATAAATTCAGAAATAAAAAGATAAATTAATAACATTTTAAAATTGTGGGTATAGAAAATTTGTGATTAGTTTAGAAATGAGAATAAGAACTCGTACTCGAAGTGATAGGAGAGCCGAGAGAGACAATGAGAGAATACGTGATGAAAGAATAGCATTATTTCTTGATGATCTTACAAAATAATATAAATGGACTTAAATAGAAAAGTAAGACTAAAAAAGAAGGAAATAAAATATGTTCCTAACGTCTCCTTAGAAGGGGAAAAGGAAGAATAAATTATTTTCTATACAAATAGGGAAAAAAAAAAGACACGTGGAGCTAAGTATGGAAGGAATCAAGTGATTGAATCAATCACATTTGATGCATTCCAAACGGTTATAACATGACCCACATATGCGATAGTACTCTTGATATGATTTGCATGTGAATGCATGCTGAAATCTTCATGAATTATGCTCTATTTATAACTTAGTTCGCTTCGTAACCCGTCCACATTGATTCAACCCATTTGGTTTTATTCTCTTCCACAGTATATATATTGTAGTTATTCATATAGATATTTATAATAAAATAATTTGACATCCCTGAAATTTTCTAATATCATGTGTATATTTTGTTACTATAAATATAAAACGTTTATAATCGCATTAAAGAATAAAAGATTTGAAACTTTAAAAGAGCAGACAAATGAAATCAAATTAAGTAAAGAAGGAAACTTTAAATTATTTATCCATATCCTACTGATAATTATTACTGTGAATATGTGATCACCAATGTTTTTTTTTAAGTTGACTTGTATTATTTTATTGCCAAAATATATTTAGTGTGAAACCTTCAATAGGAATTTATTTTAAAGTTATTAAAAAAATTAAACTATTTTATTTTTTAACTTGATCATTATCAAATATTTCATTATTTCATGTATTTTTTTTTAAATTAGCGAATCTATTTAGAATTTGATATATTCAAATCTCTACTGTTGTAACAACCCAGTTTTCTAAAAAAAAAAAAAACAGAACGTTCGTTCTGAAAAACACAGAACGGGCGGACCGCGTAGGAATAGACCGTCCGTTCCAGACAGTCCCGGAACGGACGGACTGGACTGTCGGCAGGGACCAAAGTCGCGACTTTCGTCCGGACCGACCTGAAAGTGACCCAAATGCACTAATTCGACCAGAAAACCCGACCTTTTGACCCTAAGCACGATTTGTTCCACGCCTGGGTCCGGATTTCAACCAATAATTCGACCAATTCGGGCTTTATTTAGCCAGCGACCAAAGTCGCGACTTTCGTCCGGACCGACCTGAAAGTGACCCAAATGCACTAATTCGACCAGAAAACCCGACCTTTTGACCCTAAGCACGATTTGTTCCACGCCTGGGTCCGGATTTCAACCAATAATTCGACCAATTCGGGCTTTATTTAGCCACCTTCTTCCTCTTCATTCTTCCTCAACCTCAGAGCCGAATTCTCCCTCAAATCCGAGTAACTCACGTCGTTACTTACTTCTACAGACGCAGAGGAACATCACCGAGCTCCCAATCCCTCAACCAACGCGTGAATTTAACCCGAGGTGAGTGAATTCGAGTTTAATTCGGAAGTCTGTTAGACATGGGTTTTGGATTTTGAGTGATTTTGTGCGAAATTGATGTCTGATTCGTGTTCTACTTGTAATTCTATGAGTTTTAGTGTAATACCCATAGTGAATCGTGCATGTTTGAGTGATTCTGGCGAGATCCGAGGACCAGAATGTCCGGTCTGAGGTCAGACCATCCGTTCTAGGTCTGCAGGAGAAATACAGAAGTCCAGAGGTTGAAGATGAAGTCCGGAACGTCCGTTGTAACCAGACCGTCCGTTCTGGTAAAACAGAACGTCCGTTCTGGTCCAACAGAACGTCCGTTCTGGACCAAATAGAACGTCCGTTCCAACCGTCTGGATCGATCGGTCTAGGACTAGACCGATCGGTCTGAAAAAAAAAGAATAACGGAACCGGAAAATTTCACCATGAGGAAAATTTAAAAACATGATAAGACGGGTCTAATATGACCTTGGTTAAAATTATGAAAAAGTGAAAAATATAAATTATACCGGAATTACGGGCCCCACGTAGTCTGGACCCAAAATGAATAACAGGTAAGGTTAAAAACCACAGAATGAACCGAACTGGTTATCCGGACGGACCGGGACCAGCTAAGTCATACCGGAGGTACAATTCGGTAAAATCGATGAAAAGATTCAAAGAAAATATACAATCAAAGATAAAAGACTACACAAGCGAAAATGCATGTATAGTAAATAAACTATATAAATGCATGTGATTGGGGTAGCTGGCATGGCACTAGCGTTAATTCGGAAGGGTTCGGATTAACGTTTAGCGCGTGATTGTAGAAACGGACGTTTGTGAATGATTATACGATGATTGCGAGTTTGCGTCCCATCTATGGGCCATCCGATCCGGGTCGGATGCCACCCGTGTGGGATATGATTGTGAATGTGGCGATGAATACGATGATTGCGAGTTTGCGTCCCATCTATGGGCCATCCGATCCGGGTCGGATGCCACCCGTGTGGGATATGATTGTGAATGTGGCGATGATACGATCGCGCCAACGTCCGAACGACAGGACGGTCATGGGCACCCCGATGACTTGCGTGGATAGCCGATTGTAGTCGGTACTATTGCGTGACGAGGAATACACGGTTTTTAGGACCGCGCCAACGTATCCGCTAGCGACGGAGCGGATTCCGGGAGATGAGTCTTCCGAGGATGAGGCAATACATATACCTGAGATTCGGGTGGATTGTGGTCCCCCGAGGAGGTGGTACGGACTTACTCTGCCAGGTTCGGGCCCGAACCTGACAAGTATTTCTGCGGCGGATGGTCGGCGAGGGAGAGTTGCAGCGATTGGCTCTCTCGTTATAGTCGACGGCGTCGGTTGTAGCCGACGTCAGGTGAGCTCCGGTATTGAGAGGTGACATCAATGCCGGAGTCGGGTGACACGCCTAGCATCGAGAGATGCCATCGATGCTAGGGTGGGGTGATGTGTTCGGGCGGAGAAAATAAAAAGATACTTATGCCGGATTCCGAGTGGTTGCGGAGTAGATGGAATCCGAGGAGAGAGATGGTTGTGCTACGCACATGGGGAGTACATACCTACGCATGGTGCGCGTAGAGACGATTTGACGGACTCTGTCCTGCGACTTGTCGTACGGACTTGATTGTGATTGCTGCGTGCTTACAGTGATTCATGTTTTCAATTCTTGTTTATTAGAATACTAGTATATACACACACATATATATATATATCCACTGAGGAGCGGCGGACGTCAGAGACTTGGGTGACCTGCCGTGTGATCATGTATAATTATTTTTCTACTGTACATTTACGTATTTGGGAAGTTATGACGGTGGTAGACTTTTATGGTTTGTAATAATGTGATCCTACCACTGTTTATGTATAATTATAACTGGAATAATGTACCGTATATGTATGTATGAATATTTTCTTCCGCTTAACTCTGCAAATAAAAGTTTTAAATTCCTGCAGATTTTTGGAAAATGTGATTTTATTTTACTTGTCCATGTGACGCAACTCGTATTGCGGGATGCAGGTTCCGGGCGTTACAACTGTCGCATAGAGTACATTAATTAAGTTACCAATGTGATTTGCCACGAAAACCCCATGCTCGAAGACTGTTTTTCATGTGCATATATAAAATTTTATATTTTACCCCCCCCCCCAAAAGTTGCGTGTGTCGCTTTTTTTTGTTGTTGTTAGAATTTGTTGTTATGATATCAAGGGAACGACTGGTTGCACCGCCGTCACCTGGAAATGGAGCGGTTGCGGGCGATTGAAAAACTGACTGGTTGAACCGCAACCAATCACAATCGCAACCAAACTTGTGTTTTCTAATCGCAGCTTTCATCTTACAATCGCAATCACAATTACCTATTTTTAAATTTGATGCCATTTTGCTTTCTTCTCGGTAACAAGCATCGTTCGCATTCGTGGTGCAGTTTTTGGCGCCTCTCCTTCGACCTCAATCTGTTGAGGGGGAATTGGGTCTGTTCTGTTAGTGATGTGGGTCCATTGTCCCTTACTTCTAAATGTGGTTTTTGCGGCTTTCGATCAATAAAAGTAATTTTCCGCGTTTAGGGTTATCGGAATCGGCTTCGACATGTTATCTATGGTGTCGAGAGAAAAAGAGCAAGATAGAGTTGCGAAAGAAATTGAGTTGCTTATTGGTCAAGAAAGCAATACCGTTGGCTTTTGTTGGTCGATTGTCTTGGACATGAGTTGATTTGGTTATCCTCAATGTTAATTTAGAATTATTCGTTCAAATAAAAGAATAAGAAAATAAAAATAAATAAAAAGACGGGTAAATTGCCAATATTTTGTATCCACTTAATAAATCAAATTAACGTCGAATTTAATAACCAAAATTTATGAATTGACAAAAGGTACCCCAATTATTTTTAAAATTTAAATTTTAAGTTCGGTCGGTCCGTTAAGATATAAAAATGATGATTTAAATAGTTCATGGAGTTCGATTTCGAATCGAAACATATGAAAACATATTCACATAATACACTAAAGTTATTCCGATCGAAAAGATGACACATAGCATCTTTTCATGAGAATAAATATACAAAAATGAACACCAAGAGAAAATTAAAAGAAACGGAGTATCCGTTTTATATCAGAAAGTCATAACCAGAAGTGGTCTTTATTCGATTTAGTTATTTTCAGATTGGTTATTTCGGTTTAACAAAATTTACAATCAAACAATTATTTAGTTTAAATCATTTGGCTCGGGTATTGGTCATTTCGGTTCAGTTATTTATACAAAATATTATAATCAAAAAATGAAAATTTTAAATTTGGGTCGGTTATAAGAAAAAGAATTATTATCCAACAAATTCAAGATTATATACAAACGTAACTCTGGTTAGAGATATTAACAATTTTTTTTTTTTAAAAAAAAACAAACCAACAAAGCACTAGATAAAATATTCGTTGTGGCATAAGAAAAATAATTAACGACTCTTCCG